ATTTCTTTGTTGCGAGTAATAAGAAATCGAAGGTAGTATAACATTATACACTTCGTAACTCGTACTACATAAAAGTATGAATATCAAATAGTACTACGTAGTCTTAAAGTATGAATATCAATAGCACTACATAAACCTGGGCACGGGCCGGGTTGGCCCGCGTGCCGCCCGGCACGGCCCGCCGTTCGGCGCAGCCCGGCACGGCCCGAAGTCAAGCACGGCACGGCACGAAGTTCAACTTCCGTGCCACGGGCCGTGCCACGGACACGGTTGAGAATTCCCAGGCACGGCCCGGCACGAGCACGGGCATGGCCCGCAGGCACGACCCGTAGGCACGGCCCGCGGGCCAACGGCTATAAAACGGCTAGTTTTTTGCCAAAAATTCTATAAATACTCACCTCCATTTCATTCCCAAATCACAAAATCATAATCTCTTCTTCTTATCTCTTATATTCTCTAAATCTCTAATAATCCTTATTTTCTTAAATTCTCTAATTATTCTCTTAAATTCTCTAATTATTTTCCTAATATCGGAAAAAATTAAAAAGTTCGTAATCGTAATTAGTGGAGCGTTGAAGCACGGTTGTAAGATCTAAACTAATCTTAAATTTATTATTGTTTTATTGTTATTATTAGAATAATCTTGTTTAATTATTATTGTTGTTAATTGTTATTGTTGTTGTTATAATTGTTGTTATTAATTATTATTATTGTTACAATTCTTGTTATTATTTATTTTTGTTGTTATTGTTATTGTTATAGTTGTTGTTATTAATTAATATTATTGATATTTTTATTGTTAAAATTGTTGTTATTAATTATTATTATTATAGTTAACCACTTTTTATTAAAAAAATTAATTGTTAATTATGGCATCGAACAACCCATCATCTAGGTCTAGGGGGAAAGGCCGACTTATCCGTAGTAGTAGTTCTAGGGAACCACCAAATACAACGAGCCCCCAAATTACGAGTCAAACCAATGACCCCATTTACTTCCCCCCGGGCTATGAGCCATATAATACGTCGGGATTTCCAGCACCACCACTAAACCAATTTCCACTACCACCATACCAATTTTCACCTAATTATATCGGTAATCAACAAAACTATTGTTCTAGCCAAGGTAGCCAAGAAAGTACCTGAATTCCCTCCGGTTCTACCCCTTCTACTGCCACTCCCACTAGTCCCACTACTAACCATCACACACATCATGAATGGTTAACCGAAACTGAGATGCTACTTTTGAAAAACCGAAGGAGTGAGGTATGGCGTTATTTTGTCCTAAGTAAAGATGGTGAACAATGGGCAAAATGTAAAACATGTAATAGTGTATTCACGGCAGTTACCAAAAACGGGACGGGACACTTATCTAGACACATGAAAGCTTGTGCAAAACCAGCTAGTGATCCAACCCAGCCCAAAATTTCCCAATTCCATCCATACGGCTTTACATACAACTATGAGAGGGATAGGGATGAACTAGGAAAAATGATAGTACACGCCGAACAACCTTTTCTTTTCTCGGAAAGTGACGCATTCAACACCTACATTAACAAAGCACTACAACCCCAACATAAAAGAATCTCTAGGAAAACCGTTCGTTCCGCCGCAATGAAAAATTTCCTAGAGTACAAAGTCCGGTTACAAGCCGAATTGAGTAACCTTAACTGTAGAGTATCTTTAACAGCCGATTCTTGGGATAGTGGTTATAAATATCACTATTTATGTGTGACTTGCCATTGGGTAGATGATCAATGGATGTTACAAAAAAGAATAATACATTTCAAAATGCTGGAATACCCACACACCGGCATTAACATTGCTCACCATTTAATGCAAGCAATAGACGAATACAACCTTCGAGATAAAATGATGTCTATGACTTTTGATAATGCAACCTCTATGACATACACAACTAATCTTATCAAACAAAACTTAACCGATGTACTATTAGACGGTGAAGCTCTTCATACTAGATGTGTTTGCCATGTACTTAATTTATGTGTACAGGATGGAGTTCGGGCAATTGGCCCATACTACAACAAAATCAGAGATGCTATTATGTCTATTAATAGCTCTAACATGAGATACCAAGAATGGAAGAGTTTTCTAAAACAACAAAAGATAAGGGTAATAAAAATTAGAACCGATTGCCCAACTAGGTGGAATTCCACCTATGACATGTTAACAAAGGCAATTGAGTACAAGGGCCCGTTAACATTATTTTACAACCAAAAATTTCCACAAAATGCTTTGTATAATGATGATTGGAAAAACTGTGAAAGATATATGCAATTTTTACAGTTATTATATAACATGACGTATTGTTTTTCTACTGTTTACAATCCTTGTGCTCAAAACTTTCTTTCTAATGCATGCTTACTCGCCCAACTTTTCGCTGATCATCGCGATCAAAGTGATTATGATCAATATCTTCCAGCAATGGAAAAAAAGTGGCGTAAATATTATAGTGAGATTCCTTTGATTTATATTTTTGCTTCCATATTAGATCCTAGGCAAAAGTATGAAAACACATTTATGTTAGTTGACATTTACTTTCAATGCATGTTTCTTGACGATGATGTAGAAAACTATAAGACTAATGTGAAGGATCAGTTTTTTGCTTTATATAGAGTCTATGAAGCCAAATATGGCACCGTTCCTCGCTCAGGGCCTTCCCAACCATCCAAAAACGTAAGTAAGAAGGCCAAACATTTATTTTCACAAGCTACTAACTTGATTTCAAGGTTTTCAGGTGATTCATCAATCAGGAGAACGCAAAGCGACGTCTCGGAGTTGCAGATGTACCTGAGTTACGACTTCACCAAAGGCATGGACGACGATGAGATAAACAGCCTCGACCTCCTTGCATGGTGGAAACAACAAAGCTCGAATCATCCAACTTTGGCGGCAATGGCACGAGACATTCTTGCTATCCAAGTTTCCTCCGTCGCCTCCGAACGAGCTTTCAGCGCATCCGGAAGGGTTTTAGACGATAGAAGAACAAGTCTAAAACCCGAAACACTAGAAATGTGCGTGTGTTTCAAAGATTGGTTGGATGCGGAAAATCGCTCACAAGACCGTTCTTACGACCACAACGACAACGAAGAAGGAACCTCCGCTTCCGGTTCGGGTTCGGCTAGTTCCCAATCTATGCAACTAGCCGATGACCTTGAAGGCGAAGGCGAAGACGAAGACGAAGACGAAGACGAGCAAGAAGAAGGAGAAGAAGAATAGACAATTATTGTATATTGTACGATTTTAAAAATATCAATTTTATCATTTTCCAATTTTTGTTTAATACCATCATTGTATGATTTTTATCATTGTTATCATTGTACAATTTTCTCAACTCAAGTAATAATAATATAAAGTACGCATTATTCACATCCAAAGTCCAATTTGCCTTTTTTCCCCGTTTTGTTACAATTTGTAAATTCATATTAAAAAAAAATAAAATTATACTAATTACTAATAAATCATAAACATTAAATTTTAAAGTAATAGTATAAAGTAAATATATAAATATAAATATTGAATATACAAATTATAAAACATAAATATTCAACTTATAATTATAAAATTCATAACTTAATAACTTATAACTTATAAGTTATAAACTTATAAGTTACCTTATAAAACTTATAATTATAATTTTATAACTTATATACACTATAAACTTATTAATTTATAATGTTGTCATTAAAAAAAAAAATAAAAAAAAAATAAAAAAAATGAAAACTGCACCAGCCTGCAGGCCGGCACGTGGCCGGCACGGCACGAGCCCGCCAGGCACGAGGGCCGTGCCGTGCCGTGGGCTGGCCTGTGAAAATGGCCGGCACGGCACGGCACGAAATCCTGGGCCCGCCGGCACGACCGGCACGGCACGAACCAGCCCGCGGCGGCCCGGCACGGCACGGTGCCCAGGATTAGCACTACATATACAGTCTACGTATGAATATCATATCAGTATTACTCTAATGTCTAAGAGATTGCGACTCATACATCAAATCAACCACGCAAAAAGAATGTATACACGGATTAATTGTATGCAGCCATTCTATATCTTGCGATAATGATTCATCATTTAGCTATAACATTATTCAATTTCATAATAATAATAAGTAGAAAGAAGTATTTAATGAGCCATTTTATATTTGTATTCAGATAAATACATAACATTCCCAATTTTGCAAGAAATCATGCAACAAACTAGAAACAGTATAGAAAATGATCGATTATATCGCATTCCAACTTCATAATAAGTTAGAAAGAAGAATCTAGTGAGCCAAATTTATTCTTTTTGTCAATCTATATATAGTATTTCCCGTTAATTATTAATAAATCGTACAATTCTTTATAATTATACGTTTATTTATGTAATAACGTAGATAATGCATGTTTGCATTACATAGACATGTAACAACCTCCTTCTACTTCATGATAATACGTTGGAAAAAAGAGTAATGTGTCATTTAAGTTTTGTTTTCAAATAACATTTCTGTTATATTTTGATAAATGTTGTAATATTCATTCAACAACAAAATCTGTAGCTATAAACAAATTCAAGATTCTATATATTTGACATGGGCCCTCGTCATTAATCTTCAAATTGTAATTAATCACTAATATACTGCTTCCTCCATCCTAAACAATACTGTGTAGGTCATTAGGTAGTCACTTTCAAATTTCAAGCTCCAAGTTTCTTCTTGTTTGTACTACATACATTTGTCTGATACGAATTTACTTACACTATCTAATCTTTATTAATTTATTTACGTACTCGTAATTAGACTTTCAAATCCTTATAGAAAAATGTAACTTATTTTTACATGACAAGAACAATTTAATAGCATAGTAAATATTTGGTATGTAAAGAATATAGCAAATGATGGTTATGAAATTTTAATAAACCACTTTTGAAAAATAATATTACCTATTTTTAAAATAAAAAGGGTAGATTATTACTTTTAGACTCCAAAAATTTCAAAAAATATCTTCAAACACAACAAGCCTTGTTAATACCATAACCAAAACAGTATACGCCACGTACCTTCAAACAACGTTGTATCCAATAGCATGAGAACACATAATTCATAATTCCATTATCACTAATTATAATTTGAAAATGACATTAACCTTAATTACCTGTGCAGCAATAGACTACAGAGAAATCAATATGATTATAACAGGTTATAAAGGATATACAGCATAAGTATAGGAATGACTACTATCCCTTTTTGTACGATCATTCAAAACCGAGTAATCGAGTATGATCCCCAATCACAATAATTACTCGATTCATTGGAACAAGTGGCTCAACATCTGAAGCTTCAAACCTTCAATTCAAGTTTATGACCATGCACTTGCTTGCTAGCAAGTATCACTGCCGCCTCTCTTGCTAAGAAATATCAAGTATCCATATCAGATTACTGCACCAGAAGGCTAGATATCATTGATGAGCTCAAAGAGAGATATAAAGAAACCTAAACATGATCGACGTCTACAAATGACACATTAGGAAAAAAAACAGCTATTTTTACCAAAAAGAAATACTATATAAGGTTCAAATAGGTGAAATACTAAAATGTGGGAAGTACACTGAGGGTCCTGTAGTCAGTTGGTCAGTTATTTCGTTCAAATACTCAAAAGAAGCGTAAGTTCAATACTTAAAAGATGCATTGCATGCAGTCAATGCTACTGAGTTTCTTAGAGCAAGCTAAAGGGATATTGAATAATACTCTGTATGACAATTAAAATTGATCAGACCACATCTCCTCCTCCCCCCCCCCCCCCCCCCCCCTCCCCGGCCCAAAAAAAAATCAAAATAGATGGGGCATAAATTACCAGACAGTTTAGCGTTTATACTGAGGCAAGCCTGTTTGTCTAGCCAAAGATAATCAGCCTGTGGCTAAATGTAGCAACTCTACAAGATCGTCGAGGTGTACATCTAGAAGTTCTTTGCGATAGTGGGTAAGAATCGATAATTTGATACCATGCTAACCATACTTTAAACACTTTACAGTCTTTTTTTTTATTTTTTTTATTTTACCAATGTCACTGTATCATTAAGGTTGAATATTTTGAGCTTTACAGCCAACAAGGCTGTGTACAATTGGGAAGCTGGAGTATGGGATGATAGAACCAACCCGTAGTCCCATACAAAAGAAAACATACAAGGGTCCTATTTACTCCACTCAAGTAAAGGAACTTTCCCCACCACCAAATGTCCAAATGACAAGTAAAAGAAGGTCAAAATCATGAAAATCCACTTAAATCTTAATCCATCAGGTATACAGATAAAAAAATTTAAGACATGGACAAAATGACAAGATTAACAAGGCAGAATTATGTTTAGGGATAGCAAGGTTACATGCCATATCAGATTTTGGGTTGGCACCGACTGCTACTCGGGCAACACCAATACACTAAAAGCTTATCAGTAAGATTTTACAAGTCAGATCAAACATGTTTACTTGCACTGGAGGCAACTATTATAGTGTTATCAAATCTTTAAACAGTCTTGAGCTGATTATTTCAACTCCAACTACTTGTCACTGAAAGCTTCCAGAAGCCTAAAACTACAATATAATGCTCTATGCAGCATGGTCATGCATGAAATTAACAAAAAGTGTAGGTTGAAAGTCACAGTAAAGAAGAAAGAGACAAGCAACAAAAAGAGACACTATAGAAACACACGCCCCTATGAAAATACGTCAACAAGATCAATCAGTTTTTTACTCTTGTAATTGGAGTTTGGTAGCCTGTAGGAAGGTGGTTGCTTAATGACATGCTAACAAGAAAGAATTCAGTTTGGTACTAAAAATACCTCCAATTTGTTTTTAGCTTCCTGATCAAATGCTTTACAAAGGATCTCATAACTCTTTCCCAATCCTACCTGCAAAAAACATAGTAAGGAGGTACTAGCTTTAAGTCTTAACCAGGATTAATTAAACAGCTAACTCTTGTAATAGATTTTTTTTTTTTTTTTTTTTTTGAAACCATAATTCTTGTAATAGATTTACAGGAGTTAGGCGAAAAATCAGTAGCCATACCACTGGATCAACTCTTGATGGGGAAATACGTGATATACAATACCTGCAATGACAATTTGTAAGAAAATCAAGACGTGGAATACACATTTTAAGGAACAAAAATCTCACAATAAAAAAAATATATATACTCTTTGTTGGCTTGCACCAGCACTCCAGCAGATATCCAGCTCAACATGCTCCTTGTTTCTAAGTTTCAATTTTTTCACCAAGGGGCCGCTAGATGTTACACTTCCATTAAAAAAAAAAAGCCTAAAAACTATTTGACTGACCACAGGAAGCTCCACTTGTCTTGAGGCATTAGCCAGTCAGATAAGCAATTTCCAAAATATTGTGAGAAGCCTGACTTTCCAGCAATTATAACTTCTTACAATTTAAATTTCCCAAAATTAATGAATAGTTTTTAGTATAGCTTCCTGTGGTTTTTCATTAAATGTTCATTGAGTAAAGATAAACTGTATATAAGTATAAAACTAACATGTGGCAAAGTGACAAAATTATTCTCAAACCAAGTAAAGATTGGTGTGTGGTCAGGCGAGAGAATTTTTTGTCTTTATATATTCTATTAGGAATTCGATAACATATACTCTTTCTTCCATCAAGATAAATCTGACCCCTTCCCCTGTTACCAAATACATATATCAGATATTATATGAAGTGAACATCTTTCTTAGTGGCAGGTCCGGGTAAAAAATAGGAAAGGCAATTACATTATATTTTTGCCGATTTTTGCCAAGGAACAGGACCTATAGCCATTTTTTTAAAATCCACAGTTGCAAACTTGAAATCCTGTTCCTAGAGAATTTCCTTTATATAAGCTTAGAAAAATAAATAAACAAATAAACCCGTCCTGCATTAACTCCTTTTTACAGTATTTAGCCTCAGCATTTCTAGTAATATAGATATAATATTGTGTTGGTGGAGGTCACTAAGATACAATCTGTTGTCAAAAAAAATCACAGGTTGACAGGTTATTTGGGGTCATTAAACATTAATCACATTTACATAAACTGTCAAACATACCAAACAATCAGCGTACAAAACTTACCCTAGTTTACTAGTGTAGAAAAACATAGCTGACAAGTTTGCCTTTTGAACTGTAAGCATTAAAGTAGCCATACAATTCTGCACAAGTGAAAAAGATAGATGAAAGGTTATCTTAGCAAACCAATATTACATGATTAATTACCCAATAGATCATACTGGATTCGTTAAATATATAGACAAAACCATCCAACATTCAGCAGAAACCCAAAAACAGTATAGTTCAAGATCTGGAAACCCAGAAAAGTGCATAAATCACTCAAGTACATATGTAACTAAGCTACACAAAACCTTAAGTTTATTGGGATATATGTCACTTCAAATTCTTACTTCCTACACCATTGTGCACAGGGCAGCAAATAGACTCGCACTTTTAGATGCTTGAGCTAGTATATGCATACTTCCTTTGATATTTAAAGTTTAATATTTACTTCATATTCGTTATTCTCATACTATTATAATTAAATTACCAGTCAGAAATAGAAGATGGAACTTGGAAGTAAATAAATCACCTTATGAGCAATAAGCTCTAGAAGTTGCATCAATAGCTTCCCAAGTCCTTTGCCTTGTATGCGTTGCTCAAGTTGCAACTCATATACATAGAGAACTGGAAGCTCCTCCTCCATTATAAAACGATAGTGCACAAATCCAACAACATCACCTTTGTGCTCATTTGTAGGCATCAATCTCTTCTTAGTATTGCTAAGCACAGTTGGAACTTCATAAACAAAAATGTAACGTGCCTCTGGAGCAACCATTTCTCTACATTTCACCTTTTCTTCTTTGGCCCATTCAGTTCCATAATATTGCTCCATGTTTTGCTGCATAAAAGTTTTTTTTTTTTTTTTTCAAAAAAAATAAATAAATAAATAAAATAATATCATATTTTGTGCACAATATTCTGTACAGGTTAGTAACATTAATAGTATAGCTTTAGCCTACTTCCTTGTCATTTATTCACATCATGTCTTTAACATGACATGAATAGGTAATACGAAGGCAGACTTGAGTGTTAATATCTGGTCATGGCTGAAATCTAGCAGGATTATTTATTTTCCTAACAAGCAAAATGAGGGGATAACATAAGAAAGCAAAAGGAGTCTACACCTTATATCATGTGATTATGCAATGCCGAAATAAATACAAGACACTGCAACACAGTAAGCAGAAAGAAGTGCCATAGATATATTATGGTGGTTACCTTTACCAATTTCTGAGCATACTGCTTCAAGGATCGAGATAACTTGGTCCCACGTCCTCCCTCCAAGCATAAACAGAGACCTTACAGATATAGATATGAAGACACCAGTGAGAATCAAAAGTAAAGTTGATAATTTGCTCCATAATAATCTAAAGCTAATCTCAAAATCTACTTCCAAGAAACATCTAATTCTTCAGTATATATAGATTTCACATGAATTGTTCAACAGCACTAATAAACAGACAATGATCTCATTTCAACAAGACTACGCTCTGGAATCTCTCAAAAATAATTATTCTACCAAACATAGACATCAAAACCATCAAATGTGCTGATGTGTTAGCATATACAATTTAAACATTGCAGTTGTAGCAAGTATGATTTTTCCAACTTTGATGTGTGTTATCCGAAAAAAAGATGATGATTTTATTTAACTTCTCTATGTCCCCTTGTTGACTTATTTAAATGGGCTTGGGCCGCACCCATCAAGGAGAAGTAGAGCTATCCACTTTTAAGCATAAGAGGAGCTACCCCAAAAATAATAGGCAATCGTAATTACTCGAGCTTATTAGTCTGTTATTATTATCTCCTCTTCTCCAAAGAGGGACAACTCACGATGTGAATTTTTTTGGTGTTATGACGTGCATTTTTTTCATAAGCTCTAGTCACCCTCAGCTTACGAAGTACATCTTAAGTATCTTTAAACAATGTGCTTAATTAATTGCTCCATTGTGCAGAAATATTTTACTTAATTATGTAAACAGCCCAACACATAAAAAGCTATTTCTTCCAAGCGAAATGAGTGTTACTCTAGCATTCATATCACTAAATTAGCAAAATCAGAAACCACAAATAAAGCAGAAAAACAGAGATCATGTAGGCTACCTACAGAAAAACAAAGGGTTATGCAGGACTGTAATACCTAACCAACCCATTCATTCCATGGATGAAAAGCCAGATTTGCATATCCAGGATCCTTTTATGTTAGCAAGATCGATGTCTAATACAAAAATTCATCCATTAATTCATCCAAAAATCCATCTTAGTGAATCACCACAAAAATAAATAAATAAACTCCGACAAGTAGTCCTCACTCCTCAAACCTTAATCTCTATTGTTTGGAGGATAAGTCATGCCGTAACACAGCACAAGCATAGCTGAAGTTTTTTTTATTGTAAGTTCCATATAAAGGACAGATTTTTGGATATAGAATCAGGCATGGAATGGGGTTTTGATTGTTGATTCACAGTAATACTACATAGCAAGCAGTAATGTGATGAACCCTCATTCAATCATTCCCTTCACTAAGCAACACAAATTTCAGCGGCAGAAAGGTAGAAGAAATTGCCTCAATTTATACCAGAGTTAAACAAATCCTGAAGTCCAAACAATGTCTCACTTTCTGTAGTTATTATTAGGTAACAGTTATCAGGTCATTTGCAATTTGAAAACAGAAAACTCCTGTTCTTGTTCTGAAAGTTATATATTTCAGTAAGTTTCTACCCTCACTCTCCAAACTACACTCACTACAAAACCTCTGTAATAATAGCTAGTCTAGGGTCTTAAGCCCCATGGAAAACCCTAATACATCCACTTTAATAAGAATCACAAATACAGTAATCTTTTTATAACTCCAAAGCTGAAACAATATCCATCTCATTAAGAATCCCTCGAAATTATACCCTTGGAAAATACTAGCATCCACTGTAACCAACACCAATCCAACTTCATCAATATTCAAACATTATATTATATACTATCTAAAATTTGATACATCCCCTCCTGGATCAAACCAATATTATTCGTGAGCGAATAAATAACTCCAAGCCAAGTAACTACAAGATCAACACATGAAGTTCACTCGATTTGGTATTTAAAATCATCCATACATCCTATTGCTTCTAGCCTTCTAGTCTTCACTAACACATTGAGTTATTCAATTAAAATGCATCTCAAAACTACCTAAGCTATCAAAAATATACCAAGTATTTTCTAGCCAATTTCCACCTCTTGTATTGTCTTCATGCAATTCAACTACAATGTTCAGCAATCAATAACAATCAGCAAATTAATTCTTTCAGTAATCCTTAAATTTCATCTACATTTTATTACTAAAATTATTTAAACAATTTGATTAAATTATTAGAACAAAATATGGAGAGATTAATGGTCACCTTGTTGATTATAATGGAGGAATTCAGGAAAAGAAGCAAGAGGGTCTTTCAGGGAAGAAGCTGCTTTGATCAACCCATTTACAATTCTCTTCTTCTCTAAAATCTACAAATTTATACAACACCCACCAAAAATCTGTAAGAAAATTATCACCAAAAAATCCAAATTAAAAAAAGAAAAAAGAAAAAGTAATCTTTGATGAAAATTGCTCACCTCTTTCCTCTTCGTTGTTCTCTCGTTGTTTCTATAGATATCTACATTTTTCCTACATTTGTATTCCATGTGAAGCAAGTTAATAATAATCGAAATCCATAAACCCTAATTTCATAATTCCTCGCTAATGCGAATGGTGATTGACAGTGAGAAGTAAAATTGGTTCTTCGAAATCAATCGATTAATTTTGAATATCTGATTATTTCTTCATAGAACTCGATAGTCGATATTCACTACTCACTTCCATATTACTGTAATTTAATTTTTCGGATTTATTTTTCTGATGAAATTGGAGCTGCACGGCAAATCGGCAATATTAATAATGTGATTAATGTCAATAATGTACATTATATGAATTATCTTTAAAAAATGATAAAATATGAAAGTAGTTGGGTAGTTGAGAAAATAAAAAATTATAAAAAGCAAAAGTAGTGGAAGAATAGGACGAGAAAGGGTATTATGTTATGTCCACTAAGTGTGAGAAATGAATTAAATATTGTAAAAGTTTTCCATAAAAGGAAATGGAGCAAGTATTTAAAAACGGTCGGAAAAAGAAAGTTGAGCAAGTATTTAAAAACGGAGGGAGTACTTCACAAAATTAACAATGTGTCTAGTGTGTGGCTGCCGGCTGGCTACACCATGTAGGTGCTTTTAAAAGAAAAAGTAATTTTTATGAGTACACCCTATAATAATACCAAAATAACTACTATAACACTAACAAAATAACCCTTATACAAAGTAACACTGATTGATTAACTAACCCCTACACCCATATAGGGATATGGATCTTATACTAATTTTATCTAGTTTAGTGGAATATATATATGACAACAAAACTAATTAAAAGCAATTTAATTTAGTTTAAGTTTGTATTTAGCTTTATCTCTAACTATGAACAAGTATACAAGAAATAGTACTTGCTAATTGGGCTGATCATTTTGGTTGTAATTTGTGTGATTTATAATAAATATTCCATTAAGTTGAGTTTTTTTAGTAGTTACTTTATTAGGAGTTGAGTTGGTCATACTCTCTCAATGCCTCAATCGGACACCCCTAAAAATGAGGCTAAATTTTTATGGACCCCTTCCAACCAACCAAACATGGATTTCTAACAATTGACTCTTTAGAATCATTACCATTAAATTTTACTGAGTAGATATGCAGTTGATTAGTATAATTAGCTCCATCCCAATTTATCTCTAAAGTGTTACTAATAAAAGATTTTGAAAAGGGTTTAGATCATGATGATAAACCTAACAATCAAGCATAATTAATTATGACAATGAAATTTGTTTCACTTTTGAAGCTTGACTTGACATTAGTTATGAGCTCATGACGTACGAATGATCCATAATTTTGTGTAGAGTAGTCTTTTTTTTTCGTCGTAGGCTCTTTCTTAATTTATGTATTTAAATTTCTTTCCAATTACAGGTATTATCCTTATATCCTATGCACGACACAAATTACCAATTTAATGTACTGTGTATATGTTTTAAAAGACTACACGACAACCCCTTAATATGTGATAATTTGTTTATTAAATATCATCTCCATTTTCAGAAGTTACAAATGCTAACACTGAAAATAGTCCAATGTAATTAATTTTGTTAATTGGGCCCTAAATTCATTTTTGTAAGGATACAAAACTCTGTACGATAACAGATAATTGAATAACCAATGTTAAAAACTAAAAATTGTTATTCTGTAGCATACATTAAATTTCACAAATTCATATGTGTAGGATTTAATTGAAATTGGATTATTATATACAGAGGATCTTGTTGATTATTATTTATTTCATTTTGCTACAATTAAAATTTCACAAATTCATATTTGTTGGATTAAATTGAAATTGGATTATTATATACAGAGGATCTTGTTGATTATTATTTATTTCATTATAATATAATTGAGGTAATATATCCACATAAAAACAGAAAGAATATTATCCCCATAGTTGTGTAATCTTGGATTAAATGTATAAAATAATATTGATTGTGATCGTGCACTTAAGGTAATTTTAATTATTGCAATCTTTTTACTGATCACAATCATCACATACATAGTACTATCTTTTCTGATAATACAATTTGCTTTTTTATATTTGTCCCCTAATCCCCTTGATTTTCAATAATGCTACTGTAGTAGTTCTTTTTACTTTTATACTCCATGGTATCCACATACTCAAATTTGACAACTAAAATGACAAAATTAATTAAAAAAAAATTTAAATTTTTACATATTGAGCATATAAAGGTTAAAACTATATGGAACACAAACACTAGAATACCTATTATTTTGAGGTAAGTATTAGAATTTTACATACATTTTAAAGTCTCATCTACCATCTGATGAGACATCATTATCAATTTATCATATTTTACATTAGCAATCCATATAAAATAACTCTATAATGTATAAATAAACCACTATAAATAACGACATATTAATTTTTCTCTTTTGAATTTAATTGTCACATACCTATACAAAATACAATATCAATATCATACGAACTCGCCATGATTCTTCTATGCTTTCAATTGTATAAAAAAAATCCTTTTTAAAAGTACATGTAAATCCATAAATCAAATTAAATAATAATTACTACAAAATTAATAGTAGTAATGTTGTATGTATTAATTTTCCTAACATCTAACCATTTGACATAGACAGACCTCCTACATAATATGAATCAATATTAAAATTAGAGATCATGTCATGTATACAATTCAACTAGACACACTACATTGATCGGAATTATTAGGGGTGCTTGAACTCCCGGCAGACGACGACAACGACAGCGACGACGACGTTTTAGCACCACCATTGGTTGCATTCCCACTGCCACACTTAGCAACGGTCCTAACACTTTCGATCAATTGCTGAGTTTTGTTATCTTGAGACAAAATCTCAGACAAATGCTCCGGGTTTATAACCAACCTTACCTTCCAAACACCGGAACCGTTATCATTCCTTGGGACAACATCCGTGTCTGGTTGATTCTTGTACACTACTCTTGTACCTGTCGTATCGACTGACATTCTGTACGGTGTGGATACGTTATAGTTACTTGTGTCGGTCTCTGTCGCGACAGAGGAGGGGAGGTTAAGAGGGAGGAGGTAGTAAAGTTGACCGGGGCAGAGGTTGTCATTGTGTAACATAGGAGGGTTGGAGGCAGGGTTCGGGTTAAGGAATATTCCGTGGTTTGGAAACTCTGAGGTTATTTGTTCAACTGTAATTGGTGAATACAATTCCATGATTCCGCCTGTTGTTGTAACAACCTTAATCATGGTTTTTTGCTCTGTTGTCTTCGTGGCTTCGGCCTCGAGACGACGTTGTCGACGGTGGTGATAAACTGGTGTTGAGGTGGTGGTGTTGGTGTAGTAATCTTTGATTGCACACGCGCAATTTCCCATTTTTTTTTGGGTGAGAAAAATGTGTATGAAAGTGTTGTAGGATGAAAATGAAAGGAGGAAATGAGAAGGTTTTGAGTTAAATACTAAAATGAGTAATTAGCTGGCCGACACAAGAATCCTTTGCTTTGGCAAACAAAATTAAGATCGTATATCAGTAATTTATAATTATAGGTCTTGTCAATTAGCCATTGTGGCCCATTGAGTGATGTTTGGTTTTTAGGCCCACTTCTTTTTCTATGTTGGTTAAATGATAATCTCATATTCTCAGCTAATGCATATAAAAACTAATTAATTTAGATTAGAATTGGGTTATGCTCCAAATGGAAGATATCTCTTGGTCATTAATGTCTTTCTATGGCTTTTTACGAGAGACTTATAGTTAAGTTGAAACGACTTCCTTGCGTGTTGATCCAAACGTTGAAGTGGTATATGGACCCACTTTACTTGGGCTTATTTGGGACCAAATATTTATCAGGCCCCCTCAATCTATCATTTTGATTATTATAATGGGTAATTAAGTACAATAATTGTGGGATGATCTCATTCATACAATTGAGACATGGACTACCTATTTCTAGGTACATTCGCTTTTGGTGACTAAAATTGCTACTGTACCATTTATTAGCTGCCCAACAAAGGTGATTCACTCATTCCGCATTCGTGCAGATGTATTTTACTGTATAATTTTATGTTAGTGGATGTTTTGCTTGACACCTACTTCTTCGTACAAGAACACCCCTTTAAAGAGGTCTCATCCTTTGCATTTAGACTTGTCAAAGGGTTTTTAGTGAAGTTAAAATTAAGAGGAGTGAGGGGATGGTTAGTCCCTCCATCTCCCCCCATGTGATGGGAGTTCGACTCCTCACAGCCCCATTCCTGTGATAGGATGGGGCCCCCTCCCCGTAGTTTACCGGTCAAAAAAAAAAAAAAAAAAAAAAAAAAGTGAAGTTAAAATTAAACTTATAGAAGAGTTGTTACAAATCATGCAATTGGGTATATCGAAAATGATGCGATAGATGAAAATATTTTAGCCCATTCGAATATTAAACAAAGGACTTCAGAAATATCGATCAAATACGAAAATAACTAACAGAAATAAGATTGAGTAATAGAATGTTGAGGTTGACGGCTTGAAGGTACAGGTGAGTCAAATAAGGAGAAGATAACGGTCAAAAGACAGATTATTAACGCATGGGTGGTACCAACTACTACGGTATCAGCAATCAGCATGAACACATTGGTACAAAATTGACTTAACATCTCTAAAACGCTGAAAAGGCTACTAAAAAGGCCTTTTCCAGACTCCGTATGTATGTTTTATGAGATTATCAGGGTCAGCAATCGTTATCATCTATGAAGTTTCCAACTCGTGCGAAGTGTCAGTGTGGAACTGTCGAATGTGGATCCCATTTTGCCGCGTCCAAAATATAAAGCTCTTGTATATGCAAAGGAATGTTATATGCTCTCATCCAACATCTCTTATTCTGAAAATGACATATGCTAGACACATCTCTAACTATAGACTTCGAACTCATAGTCAATCAACGACGTATTAAGCATCAAGGAATGCTTCATGCTTCCAATTCAAATAATTAGAAAGAGTATTTGGGGAAAAAAGAAGCAAGTGTAATGACTTCTGTAAAAAAACTTCCTGCTCGACAACTGCACGAAGCTGTGTGCAAGTTTTGTAATCTCGGGTGAGAGTTTGATCGATGTACAGCTTAGCTTTATAAGAGATAAGTAGGCACATAAAGCCGAGTTCCAGTCTCTAAACTCTACAGTTTCACACACAAGAATTGTGACAAAGCAACAACAGATATCCAACGTTTACTCTAAGAATCAATAAGAAAAAGGTACATGTAGAGGAGGGCTAAGGTCAATGATTGATATTATTATAATCAGCACAAAGACTACTATGGAACATGAAAGTGGCCAAAGACTAAATTGTCTGGCAAAGTGTTGGCATCTGAATCTGAACAGATCTATTGAAAGCAAATAATGGTTTGAGAAATCAAAAAGGGATGGGAAGATGGGAGGCCAAGAGAGACCAGCAGAAGTATGCATCAGTCCACACTTGTATCATAAAGCGTGAGAATAAAACTGCAAAAGACAAGATGACCTCTTAGCAGAAAAACAGGGCATTAACAAAAACAGACAACATGGCCTCTTAAGCACCATTATTTTCTTACATGAACCAGCAGTGCATGAACTTATTGACTATAGAACAAGGAACCCTCTATACCCACAACCAGGGGATCTAAGTATCTAACTCATCTAATACACTGTCTAATTATTCTCACACATAAACATGAGCGAACAGAAGAAAAAACATGTATCCATGCTGTAGCAAAAGAATTCGAATTTCTTACTAGCCTGATCTACTGGTATAAAGAGTGGTTATGAAGTTCCATCCAACTGAGTTATGTTCTAGGAACTTTAACAGTTACAAGCATTGACACATTTGGCAATGCAAGCAAAGGTAGCAAAAATCATGAGGTTTCTAACAAGTCTTTGTATTGAAATTTATGATAATATGTTTAGTAAAGAACTTCTAACTTTCACTACTGGCATCTTCAGCTCAGAAAAATTTCTCATTATGGTATTTTCAATGTACTCCAAAAAAAGGGAAGAATATCTTTATTTGTACAGGAAACATCCTTAGCATGTTGTCCCAACTATTACTTATAAGATACAAAAGTCAACGTTCTAATTTATACACCAGATATCGATCCAAGCGGAGAATCACTAGTAATAAAAAGCGGGGTAAGGATTGTGAAGGTAGATTCCCAACTTCAAGTAACTAATTATGAGAAACAAGCAAATCTGTAACAGACCATCTAGAACCTTGTCTTTGATGAAATGGCAGTCTAACCTCAATATGTTTGGTTCGTTCATGAAGGGCAGTATGAACCAACTGCAATAGTGTGCACACCGATAATATATAAATCTCAAGTGAACCCATTTAACAGCACAAGTTTGGGTGTGTTACTATAACTCAACAATACTCGTAGGTATGAACACTTGGCACTTCCTTCCTTCTCTATAATGAGGGCTCTTTTCGTAAACCAGCCAAGTCTAATACTTGGAGTCTTGGAGATGTACCCAAGGTTGTCACGACTGCCTCATTTCAGGTAACATAGGTTGGGAATGGTACCTTAGGAATCAAAATCACAACCTACAAGATTATAAGGGAATGTTATGTTGCTTACAGGATGTAATCCTTCATTGGAATTTTTGCCCGACTCCTACAAAACAAAAGGAATTAGGCTTAAAACTCACAAGCATTGACTAATTCCCAATTACATGACTCTGGGGGTGAGATAGATAAGTCATGGTATGCACTTTTCTATAAATTTTGCAACCTACACCTAGAAAAAAAAGAACACAAAGGATTACAAGAGTGGTAGTTTGCAATTTGACTTTGCCATGATTCTTCTTTAATAGAAACAATACTACATCCAAAAGTTGGCATTGGAAGCACATGTTTACTCAAAGAAGCGTCAGGGCACCAATTCATGTGAACCAGCTAAAATAACTACAGTCATGCTAGGTATGTGTATGCAAGGTGAAAGAGGAAGATCTTTCAAAAATTAAAGGAACCCCAGACTCTCTAATAAAGTTTGACAAACCAATAGTGTTTGAGTTACTATTGTATCATGGTGTTTCCCAGACTAAAGCAAATACTATTGTATCATGGTGTTTCCGTGGCATTTCAAGAGTACCCAAACTCCAACAACAAGCTGGAGAACTCAGTAAGCATTCAGTTCATATACTTGGTAGTTGGTACTGAATTACCTAACAGAAAAGTTTGAACTGGCAGTAATCTATATTTTGTATTTCATGTTCAGAAGACAGCAGGATACCCATTTTAAATACATCAAGAAAACCAAAGGAGACTTATTTAAAGTAAAACTCTTGAATCTGAATTTATATGCAATTATTATCTACAAGTCCAAGAAACATAGCTTTAACAATCCACACTAACTTGTCCCAGCCTTCATCCTCCAAAATCCAAATGACAAAAAATAATCCCAAATTCCCAATGTTGGAGGGTTTGATGCTAACATTTAAAAATAATGAACGTGTAAATTATTTTAGGTGTACGAACTACAGCACATTCCTTAATGTACATAGGTGGATGAAGATTTGGCTTAAAAAATGCTGGATTTCATATTGCACAGAATATTAACACCTGTCTTTGCTCCAATATACACTCAGTATAAATCATCCTAAACATTCAAGACATTATCAAGCGAACCTTTTTAAAACAACCCTAATACCATGCAACTGGACCATATCTTTCCTTGAACGAGTACAACCAGATAGACCATCTCAACTGCTCCCTTAGTCCATATAATAATCATCAAAGAACAATCTTTTATTCACATACAAGGGATCATCAGTATCAGTCTATCAGGACTAGGAGTCTAGGACACGAGATGAAATGAGCGTCTAACATCCATTTTGCCAGCATCCATGCTTGCTCTCAACACACTTCCAATAAGCCTCACACAGTAGTCCAACCATAAATAGGACGCAAAACAACATGCTACTACAACTTATTCAGTTATTTGTATTTGCTAGCCAAATTCTTTTCCATAAGCTAATCCTAAGTTCATTTCCTCAGTTACAAGTCTTACAAGAGTTACAACTACGAGCACTTTCAAATAATATGGCAACAATTGGCGAAATAAGAAATCCAACAACGAGCATATAAAGTTCGAAATGCGCATTCACACATTGAAATAAAACATCCAACAAAGAATCATAAAACTTCAATTGCTTATTTATGCAATGCAACATGTAACAATCTTCAACTCAATTTATGATGACAATAAAAAAAATCACCATTTTCATATCATCATACTGTATAAAATAAACAATAACGATAATAATTCTACAATGATTAAAACTTACAAAATCAAAATCATTCCAAAACGACAGTAGCACCAAGCGCCTTCAATTTCTCAATAATAGCTTCACCTTCTTCCTTAGTAACCCCTTTCTTCACAAATGCAGGTGTTTTCTCAACCAAATCTTTTGCTTCCTTCAACCCCAATTCTGTAAAACTTCTCACCTCTTTAATCACCTTTAACTTCGCCCCTGCATCAAACTTTTCCAATTTCACATCGAACATCGTCTTCTCCTTGGTCTCAGCCTCTGCACTGGGCTGGGCTGACCCGGATGAGCTTGGCCCAGCTGAAAGTCCAGCTAACCCAGCATTCTTAAGGCCCATCTTCATCCCAAACAGAATAGAGTAATCGTTAAGTTCAACGGGATTGAGGGAAAGCAGCTCATTTGCGATTCGATCTAATTTCTGGGGTTTGGATTCAGTTGATGTAGAAAGAGAGTGGGTTGAGGGAGAAATTGATGGAATGAAGCGTTTTACAAGGTATTTTGATGGGATTCTGGTGATTACTGAACGCATTTTTCTTCTTTTGAGCTTTGAAAATGGAGGATGGAGAAATTGATTTCTGGGTTTGATTTGATTTGATTTGGTTAGGGTTTATTACAGTGGAAAAATGAAAACTGTTGGAGATTGAAGAAGACGGAAAAGAGTGGGTTTTTCAAATGGACAATAAAGCCCACACAATAAAAGGCCAATCTTTGGGTTTGTAAATAGCCTATGGTCCATGATTTTTTATTACTAGAATTAAAAAAAAAAATCTTTGATCCTTTTGACATTTGTACACTATTTTTACACTATACTTCCTCCATTTTTTCTATTGTTACAACAAACACTTTATCACGTTATTTAACAAATGTGGATAGCACATATTATAATATACACTTAAAATGAGATTAGTGTAGGGTTTTAGGTACTCTTAGCGGAATTTCATGAATCTCATTCATGCGCACCTAAACAGGATCTCATGCATATACAAATAAAGGATCACATAATAGTTTAGAATTAAACTTTGATTCGTGAATTCCCAAGCTTTCCTCTACCTTCTTGCTTAGATTAGAGCCCCAGTTGTTGCTCCTCTAATATTGGTCCACAAGTGTAGATCGAACCTCCACCAATGCTAGTTGGACGGGAGAGAATTAATCTCCTCTTCTATGGAGAACTTATAACCGGTTGTAGAGAGAGAGGAAGGGAAAAATATTACGTTGTTTCTTTTTGAGAGATGAACGTCTGTTTTATTTTTCCCCAAACCCTTTATTATATATAATCATATTATCTAATTAGGGCAAGACTTATTCCTATCTTACTCCTTATGGCCAGTCATTCACTAAGCCCAACTTTTGGACTCGGTATTCATGTTCGACCTAACACTGTAACGTGTGACCTCATATGATCCATTTAGTTGGCATTGGTTTAACCCAATGATCAATATTGGTCTCTAGCAAGACGTAAAGACGACCCAACTAAACGAACTTATTATCTCCATAATACGATCCATATTATATTAGTAATTGCACGAGAGTCGAGGACACATTTCCTTCAATTAAAAGGTTGTTAGGAGTATAATCAAGTGACCCATGAGATTTAAATAAAGGTACTTATACGATTTTCACCATAAAAATCTTCCTTTTATAGTGTGTTGCTATGGTGACATTTTTATTTTAGAGAAGTGTTGCAACTATAAAAAAATGAAGGAAATATTGATTTATCCATCGAGAAAATGATAGAGTAATCATTATTATTAAGTTCGGATATTACTTCAAGCGTAGCTCAGGTTGATGTTACACTTTGTATCAACTTATTAAGCTCGTGAAATAAAGTAAAGATTATAGAGTATGCCAACTTCTTATGGGTGATATAAAAGATCTTTTCCCACGCTTTGGTTTAATTTCCTCCTGTCTTATATATCAAGAAGTCAATTTTATTTCCTCTCGTCTTATATATTGAAAAGCCGATTTTATTAACTCCTATATTATACATGGAGAAATCAACCGTACAACAGATTATGTTACACCCCTACGCCATTATATGTTCTAGAGCTATAAAGAAGTAGATTCTGTACGGGATATAACGGTAGCAACCTTTATATGCCGGTAATATCCTTCATAAACCGGTAATATCCTTCATTAATCGGCGAATAAAACCATGGTCCTTACCGGCATCACTCTATGCCACGTGGAGAATTGCTTCTCGTCACGTAGCATGTCTCTCTGGCACGTGGAGAGTTGCTTGGGGCCACGTAGGCACCTGCTGCCTATAAGGTCGGTGTGCCACCTATCTCTATGGGTGGCACCTGCTTGGTTGTGTCTCTATAAATACCCAAGCAAATCCCCATTTCAAAGGTAGAATCTCTCTCTCTAAAAACACTTTCTCTCTCTTCATTCTCTCTTCTTTCTCTTTCTTCTCACAAAGGTACTGACTTTAGCATCGGAGTGGTTATTCCCGGATAACCCCCAAGCTAGCTAATTTGTATTGGCTGTGTAGGTGTGCAATTGGACGGAAAACCATTACTAGCCCTCGGACGTTGACGGAAGCAGAATTCAGCAGGAACAATTGGCGCTAGAAGGAGGGGAAAGTAATAACTTCTATCGTCCAACAGAACCTCACACAGTCATGGAAGGAAGTAAGGAAACTACCGTACCAGTACCGGAAGTTGAAAACCGACAATACGATAGCAGTATTTTTAATGCTAACGCGAATAGAACTGTAAACAGCTTACCAGAAATCGTGGTCGAAGATGAAACTCATCTCCTTCACGGCAACACAACAAACATGCCAATAACGCCCGACTGCAATAGGGCAGTAACCCCATATCCTTTGGAAGGGTTTACCCCAGAGGAACTAGAGATAACGGCTAAGGTTATGCGGGCTATGTCTAAGAAAAGAAAGGAAGCCGAGTTGACAGCAGGGGAGGTATTGGGTGATGTACCGGCAAAGCCGCTAATTGTGAACCTTGAGAGTCAGTTCAATCAGGCGGGACAGCAACAACCGTCAAAGAAGCCGGGGCCGAGAGACCATACCGGCTGAGCGCCAAATCACACGAGGCGCCCAAGTGGGGGATTCAGGTTCTTATCGGCATGAGGTTTCCAGTGGATTGGAAAGGCGGACAGCCAGGGTGATCATCAGGCCCAGGATATCTCCATTCACACAAGAGATACTTGACCAGTAGATGGAGAAAATAAAGATGCCATCCTGTACTTATGACAGTAAGGGGGACCCTAAGCGGTATGTAGCAGCTTTTGAGAGTCACATGTTACTATATACCGACACCGATGTTGTATGGTGTAAAGTTTTCCCCACGACCCTTACCAGGGCAGCTTCGGATTGGTTCTCCAATTTAGAGCCGGGGTCAATTGACTGCTTTGAGACCCTGGTGGAGTTGTTCACGGGTCAATACATAAGTAATAGTGCAAGACAGAGGATATCTGGTGAGCTCATGGCTATTCAGCAACGAAAAGAGGAATCACTCAGAGATTTCATTAGGTGCTTCAACAACGAGGCTAATACCATACCAAAATTACAGCAAGAAATTGCCGTGATGGCATTGATGAATGGGCTGGGTGACAACGATTTCAAAAAATATATGTTGCGGAAGTCTTTCCCAAATTTAGGGGTAGCATTTGCCAAGGCTCACGAATACATAAAAAGTGAGGAATTGCTGAAAACGAGCCGTCAAATATCGTCAGCAGAACCCTCCAGAAGGCAAAATGATAATAGCCCAAACGCCCAGATGGGTGGGGTAAGCAGGTTACAGCCACAAGGCCAATAGAGATCTGGAAGGCCGGCAAGGGGATTGGGCCGTTATAGCAGCTATACGCAGTTAAATACCCCGAGGACGGCAATTTATTCAATAAACCAGAATAAGGAAGATTGGAGTCGGCCGACGCTGATGATAACGAAGGGCCGGGACGTGAAGAAATACTGCATGTTTCATAGAGATATCGGTCATTACACCGAAGAATGTGTTCAATTAAAAGAGAACATTGAAGATCTCATAAGGAAAGGGCGATTATCTCAGTATCGTACTAAAGCAGGTCCCAGCCGGCAGCAAAATGCACAGCCCAGGCAAACCGAGTACCGAAAGCAGGGAAATTCATCAATGCAAGATGATGCCTACAGACAGAATCATGCGGAAACATCCAGACAGGGAGGTAATCCGACAGGGCGCAAAATAACAATCGATGTTATTACCGGAGGACCAGTATACGGGGGTTCCGTAAGCGGGGCGAAGAAAAGTTTGTCGGAATACCGGCACCTAGTGAACGCATTGAGCGTAGAGGAACGACCCCGACCTTCTCCCATGCTTTCGATATCCTTTTCGGAGGAAGATGCTAAGGGAATAGTCTTCCCTCATGACGATCCGTTGGTACTGATATTGACGGTTAATGGAGCAGATATCAAGCGAGCACTCGTTGATGGCGGAAGCTCCGCCAATATCTTATTTGCTAGAGTTTTTGATGCCATGAGAATTGGCCGAAAATACTTAACGCCAGTGTCCTATCCCGTGATAGGTTTCAACGGATCAACGGTAAGACCTGAGGGTAGTATAGTTCTTCAGGTTCGAATGGGAGAAGGTCCGGCAGTAAGAGACGTTATGGCGGAGTTTTTAGTGATTGATGAGCCATCCGCCTACAACGCTATTGTCGGTAGGCCTTTAATTCATGACATGCAAGCTGTAGTCTCGACATACCACTTAACGATGGTATATATATCCAACGTTGGAACGACAGAACACGTACGGGGGAGTCAAACTATGGCAAGAGAATGTTATGTTTCAGCACTAAAGCAGTCAAGCCGACAACCTACTTGCGAACAGACACCATCCAAGCGAGAGCGAGTTCCCTCTACACATGACTTGGCCATGGAAAATTTCGATACTTGGCCGGTAACTGCGCCACATCCTTCCCCGGGAGGCGAGACCGTAGAGATCGAATTGCGGCCCGGGGTTCCCGGGAGGGTAGTGCGTGTTGGATCCGATATGGATGTCGACACGTGCTGCCATTTGGTGGAATTGTTACGAGAAAGTGCTGATGTGTTTGCTTTCTCGGCAGACGAGATGCCTGGGATACATCCCGACGTTATAGTACATAAACTTAATGTCGACAGGAGAGCAAGACCTGTTCGACAGAAGAAAAGGAACTTCTCGACAGAGAAAATAGAGGCTATTAAGTCGGAGGTAAATAAATTGCTAGCGGAAGGGTTTATCGAACCCTGCACGTATCCCGAATGGTTAGCAAATGTGGTTATGGTTAAGAAGCCGTCAGGGAAGTGGAGAATGTGCGTGGATTTTACGGACTTGAACAGAGCCTGCCCGAAAGATTGCTATCCCTTGCCAAGGATAGACAAATTGGTATATTCCACTTCTGGTCACGAACTGTTGAGTTTCATGGACGCTTTCTCCGGGTATCATCACGTCAGCTTATATGAGCCAGATCGAACCAAGGCAGCATTCATTACCGATTCCGGGGTTTTCTGTTACAGGGCTATGCCGTTTGGGTTAAGAAATGCAGGGGCTACGTATCAAAAGCTGGTCGACAAGGTATTCGCGAACCAGAAAAGGAAGGAATGTAGAAGTGTATGTGGATGATTCAATTGTGAAAAGTCGTTTGGCTACAGATCACGTTGCCGATTTGAGAGAAACTTTTGAAACTCTTCGGCGTTACCAGATGAAGTTGAATCCGGAGAAGTGTGTGTTCGACGTTCGGTCAGGAAAGTTTCTCGGGTTCATGGTGAGTGAAAGGGGGATAGACGCTAACCCCGATAAGATCGAGGCAATTCTTAGTTTACCAGAACCAAAGTGCATAAAAAATGTGCAAAAGCTCTGGTCGAATGGTTGCGTTGACGAGATTCATCAGCAAGTCAGCTGACAAAGCCTTACCGTTCTTCGTGATCTTGCGCTAGAACAAGCTGTTCGTATGGGGGAAGGAGCAATCCAAGGCATTCCAGGCTTTGAAAAATCACTTGGGGTTCTTACCCACTGTCGCAAGACCAGAACAGGGAGAAATATTACAGCTTTATATCTCCGCATCAGCAAAGACGGTAGCAGCGGTGCTCCTAGTAGAACGACAAAAAATCCAACTGTCAATTTACTTTGTGAGCCACGTTTTAAATGCTGCCGAGAGACGGTACTCGTTAGTAGAGAAGATCGCGTACGCAGTAGTTGTGGCCGCACGAAAGTTGCGTCCTTACTTTGATGCACATGCAATTGATATTTTAACGAATCAGCCGTTAGAGAAGTCTTTGCAGAAGATGGAAACGTTTGGCCGCCTGCTTAAATGGGCGATTGAATTGTCCGAATACGTTATTATGTATAAACCAAGGGTATCAATCAAAGCCCAAGCCTTGTCTGACTTCATTGTAGAAACATCTTATTATGAAGAAGAGGGGAGTATCGGCACATGGAAAGTATCAGTTGACGGCTCGTCTGCTTCAACCGGCTCAGGGGCTAGAGTAATTATGGTCTCTCCCCAGGGAGATGTGTTTGAGTATGCTGTCAAGTTCAAATTCAAAGCCTCGAATAATGAGGCAGAATATGAAGCAGCCTTGGCAGGGATACAGCTATGCATATATCCTCGGAAGAAAAACGTATTGAGATGACAACTGACTCGCAACTGGTAGCAAATCAGTTCAATGGCACTTACGAAACTCGAGAGCCGAGCATGAAGGCATATCTGGAAAAACTCAAGAGTGTTACATCTAATCTAGAGTATTTCGACATAAAATTGGTTCCTCGAGCGATGAACACGCAGGCAGACGCATTGGCTAAACTTGCAAGTTCAAGCTTTAACGATTTAGAGAGGAAAGTGATGGTAGAAATTTTGAAAGAAAGGAGTATTGATGAGCAGCCTCCTAAGGATGTATATTGTACAAGTGAAGGTCGAGAATGGTATGACGAAATCTTAGCTTACAAAGTACATAACGTCCTTCTTGCCGATAAGATGGAGGCAAGAAAGATCAAGAAAGACAGCGTCTGGTTTATTATGTTTCGGGGCACGTTGTATAAACGGGGGTTTTAGCTACCGTTGCGAAGGTGTATAACAGCGTATGAATCGGCAAGGATGATTGAAGAAATACACGAGGGTGATTGCGGTAATCATGCGGGGGGTCGGTCAATGTCCTTGGAGGCAATGAAACGGGGCTACTATTGGCCGACAATGAATGCAGACACCATGGAGTACGTTAAAAAATGTGATAAATGCCAGAAATATGGGCCGGTGATTAATCAACCTCCAAATGATTTAACACCTATTCTTAACCCAATTTCGTTTGCTCAGTGGGGAATGGACATTATCGGGGCGTTCACGTCGGCAACGGGTGGCCGTAAGTTTTTTATTATAGGGATAGACTACTTCACCAAGTGGATAGAAGCGGAATCGGTAGCAAAGATTACAGCGAATGAAGTAAAAAAATTCATCTAGAAGAGCATCTTTACTCGGTTCGGATTGTCGACTGCAATGGTGTTTGATCACGGCTCACAATTTGACTGTAGTCCGGTAAAGAACTTTCTAAGCATATACAAAGTGAAGTTTGCGTATGCGGTGGTATGTCACCCGCAGTCAAACGACCAAGCTGAGGCCGCTAACAAGCAGATACTGGGGGCAGTTAAGAAAAAAGTAGAAGACGCCAAAGGCTTGTGGGCGGATCTGATACCTGAGATTTTGTGGGCGAACCGTACGAAAACAAGAGAAACTACGGGGGAATCACCTTTTAACCTTGCTTTCGGCTCAGAATCAGTGGTTCCGGCGGAAGTGGGACTACCTACTTTTCGGGTACAACACTTCTGCGAAAGTCAAAATGATTTGTTGCTTCGACAACAATTGGATTTTCTATCGCAAGTGAGGCTGACGGCCGCCATAAAATCTGCTGCATACAAAAACCGGATGAGCCATGCTTATAATCGGCGCGTCAATTATCGGCCCATGGAAGATGGTGATTTAGTTTTGCGTAGAACGGCCGCAACCGGCAAAGGGAACGCAGAGGGTAAATTTACTGCAACCTGGGAGGGGCCTTACCAAATATATGAAACACTTTGGCAAGGGTCTTATCGGCTAATAACCCTAGAAGGAATACCCCTGAAGAATGTTTGGAACGCTAGTGTGTTAAAGAAGTATTTCATATAAAGTTTAATGTGTTCTATTTTGTGTGGTATAAATTTAGATGACATGTTGTCATACGTATGTTTATGGTATTTACTAGCATTGTAAACTGTTTTAGTACCCATGAAATACAATAACTCTACCTACTTTCGATACGATCTGATCACAGCCTAGCTAGCTGACTCGGTCGTTCAAGTGAGGAAAAAAGAATGAAATGGAATAATAATGGACCTCAAGGGGAGTTGAAAGTGCGGTCTGATCCACTGCCTTTGCTCGGCCTGACAAAGGTTGGATATGTAATCTCGGTATGCTTCACATCCGATAATTAATTACAGGCATTACAGAGTTTTCCCAAATTTTATTTACGAATAAATTTTGCCGAAAAACTCGGGGAGTATAGGTAATGGGTAACTTGAAAATACCGAAAACAGAGTTGATTGCAGGCATGAAAGAGTTTTCCCGAATTTTGCCGAAAAACGTAACTTTAAAATACCGAGAATAGAGTAAAAAGGAATTTGTGTTAAAAGCCGAGAAGTCGTATTAAAAACCGAGAAAATGACTAAAAAATGATTCAAGATATACAAGCATCAAGTGTTAGATAAAAAGTAAATAACGACCATAGTATAAACAGGAAACGCACGATAGCAAGAATTATGGTAAAGAAACAAATAAACTAATTGCTCTGAGATAATTGTTTTGAGTACAGACGTATCTAACATTAAAAGAAAAATATTTTACGATACAGACAAATATAATTGTTTTAAGTACAAAAACTGGTTACAGAATAGATGGCCAAAATAAACCCAATGATGACTGTCATCCTTGTCAATTCTTGTTGGCCTCTCTTGTTGTTTCAGTCGCCTTAACGGGTTCTTTGACAGCTTCATTGTTGGAGGGACCGACAGACCCATCTTTACCAGCATGAGTGGTAACAGGGCTACTAATAAGGGCGTCATCAAACTCCACTTATGGCAGTTCACGTGGGTCTAAGTTTGTTATCACAGAATGCGGTGGGAGCTCGTAAAAATATTCACTCTCGTAGCTGGTAGGAGAGTGGTTCATTTCTTCATTAAAAGCCTTCTTGACGGCCTGCCATTTCGCCGAATCCCACCCCTCAGCTTTGCACACACAGCGATGCGGAGACCCAATCGGCAGTGTACCGGTCAACCAGCAAGTTGGCATAAAGGTCGGTCTGCAGGAACCAATTAACGGCTCGGCGCCTGATTCCCGGCTTATCACGCTCCATTTCCTCAACTTTACCGGCCAGCTTCGCCTTAGCATCCCTCTCGTCCTTCAGACTCTGCTCGAGGCTGGCTACCTTCTTTTGCAATTGCTCCTGGTCCGTCAGCTTCTTGTTCAGATCAGACACTTGCTTTTGCAAGGTCTTCATGTCAGACTTAACCTTATCGCGCTCCTTGATGACGAGCTTACAGGCGTCATCAGCCTTCTTCAACTTTGTCTCGGCTTTATCAGCGACGCACTGATAATGCTGGTACATGTGTACCACCTCAACAGCAGAGTTGACGGTCTAGTGATAATATCAATTTTGCCGTTAATAGTAAAAAAAAATATAATATTAATAATAATAGTTATAAAAAATAAAAATAAATACATATCTACAAAAATAATGTTACATGTAAGAATGTTGTCTTACCCAGAGCATGTTGTTCATTAGCTGACCGCAAGGAGCAGCAACGCGATTGGCAGGCCTGTCGGCTGGCGTCGCCAAGTCCTTGAGCACCCTCCACCCTATGCTCCCGCCAGTGCTAGGGTCGTCACAGAGAACAGACTCCCCGTGATTAACGTTGATCCGGGGATTCCATGGGTCACCGGCAGCACCAAAAGGTACAGCCAACTCGTCAGCAACTTCTTCCGGGATTCTGACATGCGGAATCTCGATGAAGTCACCGACAAGAGCCAGGACGAAAGCATTTTTGCTGGGGCCGCCAGAGCGCGTCGAAGGACCGTTTGAGTCTCCTTGCTCGGAGGCTTGTCGATGTTGGCCAGTTGGTCGGTTCTGACCCCGCTACTGCCGGCCCCAAGAACAGTTGAGTCCCTTAAGGTGACTGTCAGCTTTTTCGGCGGATTGGGATCGGTCTCGTCCTCCAAATTAATGACCCCTTCCGGCCAGGTCTCTTGTGCCTCCTTATGGAGGGGTGCCGCATCGCCATCTTGCTTTTTCTGTTTTTTCTGTTGCTCTCGGTCGGAGGACTCAGACGTCCTCTTAGACGCATTCCCTCCAGCCCTTTTCACAGCTAGGGTACGGGGTTTGGTAACACGTTCGGTAGGAGCCATATCTTGTTGTCTCGTTCTTTTTATTTTCGAGGCTCTGGTGGCGAAAACGGGAAGGGTGTCGTATGACTTCTTTGGCCGATCTGGGCACTGTCGCTTCACTCTCCCGTCAGGATGCAACCCTAGTCGGCTGTAGTCGAGTTTGTCAATACCTGGCGGTAGAAACACCCGATAATAAACATCAAAAACGGACATCATAAAGGTAAACATAAGTGTTAAATAAAAAAGAAAAAAAACAGGTATAAGTAAAATATACGCAGGCAGGTAAGAGAATAAGCAGGCAAAACACTTATCAAAATTATTTCCAAATGCAAAGTGCAAGTACAGTAAAGATAAATATAAATAAATGTATATAATTTATAAACATTTCCATACGAAATGCATCGGTATGGCAGAGACCGACATGAGATAGAGGGGCGTTGCCCAGTATATAATTACAATGGGGCAGCCACACCCCCGGAACAACTTTATTTTTCTTACCAGCACTAACATATGTACAGTTAAACCACCTAAAAGCTTTTTTCTCCAGCTTTCCTAATGCTCTTGACCGTATGGTCTCGAACATACTGTGAGGGTGGTGAAATATCCTACGGACGGTAAAATCTTCGGGAACACTCATAAAATAAAATTCTGTCTTCCAGTTCTTGCAACTGGTCAACTTTGGCCACACGGTGCATTTCCCGGGAGCAGTAAACAGAGACCACCATCCGGGTGACTGGCTATCTCTCTTTATCCAGTGCAACCTCCGAAATAAGTTCAAGGTAAGGGGAAAGTCCATAAATATCATAACCTAGACAAGAGAGACTATATTTCGGATGGTTGGAGGCGTTAACTGTGCAATTGATACATTCCAAGCCCTGAATATTTTTTCAATGTAGAGATGAAGTGGAAACCGTAAACCAAATTCAAAATGTTTGGCATAGACAACAATGTGGCCGGGAGGGCAGTCCAAGGCCATTTGACCTTCACTTGGTAATCTGAGTTCATAGCCGTCAGGTAGACGGTAGAAGCGTTTACCATGCTGGCAGTAGTCTTTCTCGGTGGCTGTCTGCAACCACACCGGATCCACAACACATTCATTTATCTCATAACTGTTAGGGATTTCTTGGGGTTCTAGGTATTTCGGATCATCCTGTTCTGAATCATATTCCTCGTCGAGACGCTCTTCTTCTGTGATCTGAGCAGCAAGATTGAAGTCTGCCCGAATTT